TATAGCACTGGAAGGAGAGTTATTGTTTGAAACAACCGATTACTATATAGGTATATATAAAATAATGTCATTCGTGTACAAGGCTTACATTTGTTTCAATGGCAGCATTGTCTTCTTTCCTTTGCTCATGTGGTCCCATGTTCGAATAAGCTTGGGGCCTTTTTTTCATCGCATGAAATTGCAATTTGCTGTGACACATGATGTGGGGAGCTGATGTGGAGGCACAAGAAGAGTGATATGGTGCTAGAATGATATGGTGTCATGTGGCAAATGTTCAATAGTTTTTTTTTTTTTTGTGGCGACATTTGTCACCATTGATTTTCATATTTTAGCAAGGACTTTAATTGTTGTTGTACATAGAATTAGCAATAAAAGCTTTCATGATAACATGACAACAATTTTTTATTGTCGCTAAAAAATTATTAGTAGTGACTTTTCAACTTTTTGTGGTGACAATTGTCACAATTGAAAATTAATTTTATTGTAGGAAGTAACATTCTATTATTAGACCACATATTTAGTTCAATTGATAATTTATCAATCTAGTTTAAATTTCAAAGAAGAGGAACAATAAAATCCAAGCTTTCAAAACTTAATTTCATGCTAAATCAATCAAAATATTACCCTCACCTCTAAATTTAAATTAGACAGTTTTCTTATTATTAATATAGAAACTGAAGGTCTTCTCACATGCAACCTAACATCAAAAGAGAAGTTGGATGTGAGACACTAAAAAATCAAAACCTGTAACAAAGTATAAACCAACCACATACATAGGCATACCACCGATCATATAACTATCTAATCCATTCACAATGGCAGGCAAGTGTCCACATGTCAATTATTTGCAAGCAGGAAAAGTAGAAGTCATTAGCCATGAAAAGATAAATACTAGTCTTGCACAAGGTTATCAAGAGACTCCAGCCAGCACAATACAACACATTCCGAAAGGAGAACATAACTAGCAAGTTAACATTAAAAATAAAAACACAAAACATAAGATTAAAATGACAACAAGTGAAGTAGTGTAATCCACAGCTTTTGAATTATTATCAACATCAATATTGGCCTCTTCTCTCTTTGCCTTGTACAAATGTATTAACCTTCAAGACAATGAGAAATCCAAACTACCACAATTGCCTTTCGCCGATCAAATGAAATCTGGTAACCCATAGAAATATGACTCATACAGTTTGATATATATATATATATATATATTTTAATTTCTTATCTATATATCAATCTTTTCCACGACACTACGTATGCTTTACTTCGCTTTGCATGCATAGAAATTATGGCAAAGCCTTGCCTTCTATAAAATCATCTCCTCTTTTTGCCATCGTTCGTGTACTATAAATAACTGCCACAGAGGTTCTTCAATGAAAACGACAACTTTATAGTACTGATCATTGAATTCAATTTTGCACGTAATGATATCTGACATCAAATTTGTTATTAATTTTCTCGATATCGATGTTTGAACATAATGCACAGACAAGTGGCTATGAAAGTGAAATACTATACATTACTATTCATAGTCATAACTTTAAAATCATTGGAGGATGAAGGACAAGGCTGTTGTGGACAGGGATATTTTAAGTTGGAAAATAAGCATTTTTTATTTTTCACGTTCATTTGTCGATTTAAAAATAGGAAAACCATCATTCAAGTTCATTGTAGCTAATTTATAGCAATTAATGATCATAAGATTCTCATATTTCGCTTCTTTATTCAAAATTAATTTTTTATATGAAATGATCAAATTATTCTTAAAATTTAAAATAATAATAATAAAAAGTTATCTCCAACTATCACGGTGCCGACCAATAGACCACCGCCATAGACCCTATCATTGGTGAGGTCATTGGTGACACTTTTATTGATAGATAATTGCAGGTTTGATCTCATGACTTTTTAGTTATTTAAAAAATTTAATGGTCACAAAGCCACCAAGCCACTTAATCATATGTAATAATCCAAGATTCTAAACCATTTTCATGTTATAAGATAATGGTATTTTGTTAATTTTAGAATAACACTTATTATTTTATACGTGTTATTTGTTAATCTAATATGGTCAACTACAAATTGAGAGTTTTAAAATTTTATGTATTTTACTTATTAAAGTTTGAATGTATTGTTGTTAACCACGAATGAGTTATTGTTAAGATTTGAATTGATACTTTTTAATGAAGGACTAACACTTGTACAATATTAAGCTCATCTTATTAGTTTTTCTAACTTATTAAAATTTAAATAGATTGTTATTAATCTCGAATGAGTTGTTGTTAAAACTTAAATAGATACTTAGTTTGTTAATAAAGGACTAACACTTATAACAACACATTTAGGATTTAACAAGTTAGGAAATTGATATTATGTATTTAACTTTACATTTGTTAGTTCATCATCAACAAGTATCTATTTGTGTTTTAACAACAACTTATACATAATTAACAATACATTCAAACTTTAACAAATAAAATATATGAATTTTTAAAAGTCTCAAATTATAATTGATCATGTCATATTAATAAATAAAATTTATAAAATAATAAGTGTTGTCCTATAATTAACAACACCCTGTTATGTTATAATATGAAAGTAGTTTAAAGACTTGGGTTTATATATATATATATATATATATTTTGTTATATATGATTAAATAGGTTTGGTGGCTATCAAACTTTTTCTTTACCAATCATCCTTAGAAAAAGGTGTCACTGGCTCCGAGCTCTGATAACTAGCCATTGGCAAGTGGCTCCAGTGGCCTTGCCATCAAATGGGTCCTAGTGGGTGGCACTAATGATGGTGTGGATGACTTTTTTTATTATTTTAAATTTTAGGGGAAATTTAGTCATTTCATGTGAAAAATTAATTTCAGCTATAGACCAAAGGATTGCTGTAAAATTTCAAAATCTTATGATTCTTGACTAATATAAATTAGCTACAGTGGTCCTTGAGTGATATTTTCCCTTAAAATATCAAAAAAACTAAATTGGAAAATAATATATACAAGTTGAAAGCGGTGGAAGAATGAATGTGAAAAAAATATCTTAAATATTAATTAATTAAATATTCGGGAAAATTTTTTTGGGAGTTTTCAATTGAGGTTCTGCGGATGTTCAATTTGTATCATTAAATAATTAATTTTTCAATTATTTTTTAAAAATTAAAATAATTAAAACCCTGATGAATTTATATTTTAAAATGTTTAGGTCTTGAAATGTCATTATTATGATATTAAAGTTATGAAGTCCCAGGTGTCAACTTCCCTCATTGATATTATTAATTTTTTTTTTGGACCGGTCCTCATTGATATTAGTTGGAACTTGTAAACAATGACGAAACTAAATGATTTTAATTAGCTATCTCCATGATTAATTAATATAACTTGGTATAAATTTTATAGATAGTAGGTTTTGGCATAAATTTTGCGCTAGTATTATTTTTTATTTATTATATGCCTAATTAAATCTTTCTCCTTCCTTTAATTTCTTCTTCTTCTTCTTCTTTTAACTTCTATCCAGCTTTTAAGACCAAACTCTAGGCTTAATAAAGATATGATAAAAACACTAAAGGGATTGAGTTTAGTGGAGGAGGCTAGTCTCTTACAACGTGAAGAATTAAGGTTTGACTCTTTCTTAAAAGATATGCTTACATTTAATATTTGACTGTATCTTCCTTTTTACACACAATCACGCACGCACCCCTTATTCTCATACTACAAATCACAGATTGGTGCAAACTGCCAAACTTAGTAGAAATGAAAGTTTCTTGGAGCCTTTGGTCAATAGAGCCTATTGTATCTTTGGAAATTCCATTTTACAACTTTCTTACAACATGAAATCTGGACGATTTAACTGAAAAAAAAAAGGAGATATGACCTCACAAAATTGATAATTAATTTGAAAAAATATTTTAAAGATTTTTTTAAAATTTTTCTCCAAATCTCAAGATTTCAAGGAAGAATCCCTATGGGAAGTGGCGCAAGATGTTTTCACCTAATATTGTCTAATTCCATTAAGACATGAATAAGGGGTGTTGAAACCGAACTAAAAACCCAAGCCAACTTAATTGGTTGTATATAGTGGGAAATCAAAATAGATCTTATTTTTGATCGGTTTTATTTATTTTTTATTGGTTCAATTGACCAACCAGATTAAAATTAGACTATCCAGATTACTATTTCATTTTTCTATTTTAAATAATTTTAATTTTAATTTTTTCAAATTAAAAACTAAAAATAGAGATAATCATTCAAATTTTATTTAAAAAAAAGAATTTATCGTTTAAATATGAGCAAGACTGAAATTGAAGGGAAGGTAACTAGATATGTTCATTGGAGAACTTGGATAATTCTTTTAGATGATTCTATTGTTAATGGCTAATTAAAATTTTAGGGCAAGTTATACTTTAGAAACTCATTAAGGTTAAAGCAGACTCAAAGTTAAGGGAAAAAAAAAAAAGAGAACAGATATAATTTACAAATTACCTGACATCAATGAAGTTTTTACATTAACAATGCGGGTTGAATTCACACCTTTATGACCAACTCGACTAAAATACTTATATTTGGTTTGGATGGAGTGAAAAGTGAGAGAAAAATAGAAGGGAAGGAAAATTAAGAGGGAAAATTTCCAACAATAATAATTTTTTTAATCATTTATGGCATTTTTTTCCCTCCTGATTTTCTTTCCTCTAATTTTTTCTTTATTCAAACCAAGGGTTAGTCTCTTTTAGATGATTTTTCCTCTCCAAATCTTCTAAAACATGACCGCTTCTCATGGATCTTGGATTTCACTATCACGTTTGTTATTAGTAATGATGATTATGAACCTAAAAGCCTATTCAGGAGAACCTTAATTAGAGAGACTCATCTCTCCAATGACATTTGATAGGATCTCACCCAACTTTGTCGTTGATGGGAACCCTATATATAGCTAATAGTTTCCATTTAAGTGAGGGATTGGTTCAGCTTTCTCACTTACATGCTCTTGCAGACGAAGCAGCCCAGAAGCCAAACCTTCGAGTACCGATCGATTGATCCCTCTCTCTCTCTGATCAGTCTCTTTGTTATTGAATCGATGATTTCTTCTCTCAGTATTAACTTTTCCTTTCCATTGTTGAAACCTCAAACGATTCATTATGGACCTTTCAAAACCATCAATATCAAGAATAGAAGCCAAATGAAAAATTATTTTTCTGATAACAAGAAGCAGCCTAAGGGCATTAACGGTAGTGTTGTTCCCAGTCCAAAAAGAGGAAATGGCTCAGAAAGGGAACGTGGCCAAGGAATTGGTATCGCCAAGTTTCTTCAGGGAAAGAATTATCTTGTTACTGGTGCTACTGGTTTTCTAGGAAAAGGTATGCACTTGCTTTGCATTGCGCAGTTATTTTTCCTAACATGAAAGAAATTAAAAAACTTGACAGTGATAAATATTCTTTTCAATTTTGCAATCTTGAAAATATCTTTTTAGTCTTTTTGCGAATTGTTCAACTTTTCATATAAGATAAACGTGATAGTATAAATTGCACAAGTAATTTTATCGAAAAGAATCTATGTTGTGGAAAATGTAATTGGATACATAAAGGCTTATTTTATTGATGAATATGTGTCTCTTAAAATTTTATCTCCAATGTTGCAGTTTTTCTTGAGAAGATGTTGAGAACCGCGCCTGACGTAGGCCAGATTTTTGTCTTGATCAAAGCAAAAGACAAGGAAGCAGCGTTAAACAGATTAAAAACTGAGGTAATAATAACTATATGCACCCTAATAATTTCCATCAAACATATTTAATTTGCGTCATCGTGTTATATATATATATATAGAGAGAGAGAGAGGGAGAGAGAGAGAGAGAGAAATGAGATATATAGCTAGAGAGTTCAGGTTTTTCAAAACATGAGTTCTCTAGTAAATCTGTTTCAAAACTAGACATTGAGATCTATGCTTTGGATGAAATATTCTCAAAGGTTCCATTAGGCTACTAGAATGGAATGAAATGAAATAAAAAATTAAGACAAAAATGAATTAAATCTTATAAATTATGATTCCCAACCCCATGAACTAAATTACCACTACCCTTGTAAATGTGTTCATTCATATCTTTTGATCATCTTATTTTTACCTTTATTTTTTCAATCCATTCCATTATAATGCTTTCTAGTAAACAAATAGGACCAAAGAGTAAGCTGTTTTCTTTACACCTTTAAAGAGTTTGAGTTGCTAGAGTTTTGATGAACAGAGAGGTAAGGATTCGTGTATACTAAACATAGTTTAGATACATAATTAGACATGTACTTCCATGCACTATAAGAAGTATGCAGTAATGAGTACTCTTATTGTTTATAACTTGTAAATCTTGTGACTTTTGACATAAATTTTATAATGATTTAGGAGTCATCTTGTTCCATTTTATGATATACATTGATGTCAAAGCACATGTGAAGAACGGGAATTGAGTTTAAAGAGTTTCAATTTTTTGTATTGATTATTGTGTGGAATTTTAAAAATAAATTGCAGTATTCATGGATCTCATTAATGATAAAATAACTTGCGTGCACTAGATCATAGACTCTGAATTGTTGAAGAGTCTTGAAGAAGTGTACGGAAAAAACTACAAGACCTTGGTGATGAGCAAGCTAGTGGCAGTGCCTGGGTGTGTTTGTGAATATGATCTTGGGATGGACCCACTCAGAGCCAATGAAATTGCAGCGAAAGTGAACGTGATTGTAAATTCAGCAGCCAGCACCAAATTTGATGAAAGGTAGGTACAGAATATATAATCATGCACAACAGTTTGTTATTTTTAAGGTAGTCGTTAATTATTTGATTATTTAAATCATATAAACAATCCAAATACGATCAGCGTTGCACCAAATGCACAAATGAAGAATGCACACGCAACAAAACTATATTGATGTGAGAGGGGAGAGGGGAGAGGGGAGAGGGTAAGAGAGGTGGAAGACAAAATTGTATAATTCTTATTCAAATGTCAACATTATTTAAAAATAGAACTCTATTAATAGAGCTTTAAAATCAATAAAGAATAATAAAATAATTATGCAAATTTACCTAAAATCACTGGATCATACAACAAGATATCTAGATATTCTAGATATCCTATTTTATTTGATAATTCTTAAAAGATAATAAAGATAATTTAGATTTACCTAGATATCTTATTTTATTGAAAATAAATAAAATCTAATGCTAAATTAAATAAACTAAGTTTTAGATGCTAAATCAAATCTTTAAAAATAAACCCTAATTCAATTAAATACGACTTTCATCATCCCTCAGTTGAAAGAACTTTCCACTTGAGAGGTGAATAACTAGTACTTGTTGAACAAATTAAAGCAGCGTCAATGTTGCAAAACTCATCTATAGTGATCCACATGGCATCTAAATCAGAATGAGCTTTCCAGTAGACAAGGTATCATTAGATGGGACTTGATTGAGTTATGATAGTCTATTCATCCATGATAGCATCAATGGTGTTGGTGGGTGGCATAACAGCTGGTAATGGTGGAATTGGGGCATACATGGTGGGTTGTGTACTTATAGAATCATCAAAAAGTAAAAAAGGTAGCTCAAAAGCACCTTGAGAAAGAATAAGACCCTCAACATTAAGTACTAGATTGATAGACATATTTGGAGGTAACTCTAATAAAAAAGCATTGGACCTAAGTTTCTTTGTAATGTGACAAGGGCCAGAAGCACGAGCATGCCACTTCTTGAGAAAATTTCTTAGGAAGCACTTTGGACATATGCAAGCCATAACATAGTCTCTAACATCAAATTCTTGGAAACAATGGTGTGTATTGGCAACTACTTTATATGTATAATTACTCATTTCTAACTTACGCCTAATCTCAGCATGAAGGTTGTGAAGGTGATGGGTAAAGGTTTTTGCAGATTCAGATGTATAAGTTATAAGGAGGATGGATAAGAGGTTAATAGGCTGTTTAGGATTGTATCCTTAAACAATTTGAAATGGACTCTTACCAGTGAATTGATTGACCGAATTATTGTAGGCAAAGTCTACTATTAGCAATACCAAATCCCAATTCCCCTGTTTATTGCCAAGTAAACTCCTGAGCAGGTTACATAAACTATGATTAGTGACCTTAGCCTAACCATCATTTTAAGGATGAAAGGTAGAGGTGAACTTTAATTAGATACTATAGAGATTTCAAAGAGTCTTTTAGAAATAACTAATAAATTGAACATCCTAGTATGAAACAATAGAAGTGGGTAACCTATAGAGATGGATAATCTCTTCAAAAAATAGCTAAGTAAGATAGGAGGCATTAGTGGTCTTGCTTCATAGTATGAAGTGAGCCATTTTTGAGAATCAATTGATGATCAGTAGAACCAAATCGTGCCCTCAAACTATCTTGGGATAGCTTAATATAAAGTCCATACTAATACCCTTCCATAGTGCCTCGGAATTGGTAAAGATATATACCACTATGTATTTTTTTTTCCTTAGCAGTATGGTAGGTGTGACATTGGGCTAGCATCCTAATAATGTCACACTTGAAGAGGCTAGTAAAATCTTTCTTCTACCAAGGCTATGATTTTTTGGATACCAAAGCATGCAATTCCTATATGAGAAAATCACATGATGAAGTACGAAATAGATACCCATTAAGGACTAAGAAGTCTATATGTTCATGATAAGAACCATCATTAACCTCTTGATAGATGAGTTCGAAGTCAAGGTAAGAGGGGTAATTATCCTTTAGACTCTTGATTCCTATGGCATTAATGGTCAGAGTGTCTAGAAAGTGGTATCTCCTACTCAAGGTATTAGTTACCTTGTTCTCAACTCTAATTAGATGCTTTACCACAAAAGTGAATTCTTTCATGAATTAGACCAACTTAGCATGTTTGGCATTCAAGTGCCTCTAGAAGCTTAAGAATTGAAGCACTTATTAGCTGAATATAGAACAAATTGTTGAGGTAGGAGATAGTACTTCCAATACTCGAGTAAGAGGACAATGGCATAGAATTCCCTATCGTCTGTTGAGTACCTTTACCTTGCCTCATTGAGTTTCTTACTAAAGAAAGCTATCAATGGCCTTCTTTGTTTAGGATGCCTCTAATTCTTATACCCGAGGCACCACAAGCAACCTCTAAGCACTTAAGAAAATGAGGGATTGTGAGAATAGGGGTGTAAGAAAAATGTTCTTTAATTATTTAGAAAGCCTTGGATTTGCAATGGTCCAACTAAATTTCTCTTTCTTTAGACAATTAGTTATAGGTGTCATTATTATACTAAAGTCTCATATAAAGTACCTAGAGAAGAATGCTAAGTCATTAAAGCTTTATATGTCATGTAGGGTCTTTGGTTTAGACTATTGTTAGACGGCCTTGACCTTTTCTAGATCAATGAATAAGCCATATTTAAAAACAACGAATCTAATAAAAGTGACTTGGTTTTGCAGGAAGGAGAATTTAGGGAAGTTAATATAAAATTGTTCCTCCTAAAGAAAAAGGAGGATCTCTTAGAGATGGATCAAGTGGTTGTGCCTAGATTTTCTAAATATTAGTATGTCATTAAAGTCATAAACATGAATTTTCCTAAGGTTGTAATATGTGGGACATGACTCTCATGAAGGTGTTAAGGGAGTTTGTTAAGTTGAAAGGAATAACTAACTACTTATATACTTTATCTTGTGTCTTAAATGAGGTTTTCTACTTATCCTTAGGCCTGGTCTAAACTTGATAATACCCACATCAAAGATCAATTTCGGAAAACTAGCTAGACACATAAGCTAAGTCTAGCATGTCATTAAGCCTACAGATTTAAAATCAGTACTTGATGGATATCTTATTAATGGCTTGGCTATCCACACATATCCTCTAAAACTGTCTTTCTTTAAGGTTAGGAGGGCAAGTACAAGGTAGGGGCTAAGGCTATATTGGGTGTAAACTCTCTCAAGACTTGTTAGTTTTGCTTATCCCTATCTTTTGGGTTTATTCTGTAGTGTGGTAGGTTAGGAAGTTGTGATTTAGGAACTAAGTCTATCACATGTTGGATATATATTATGGGTGGCAATTCTAATAGTAATTCCTCATGTGTAATATATATCTTTAAACTCGTCTAGCATTTAGGACATTTTCATAGGTACATGATTTTTTGGATGGTATGGGTTAGGCAATGACTTTCAAAATAATGGCAAAGAATAATGCTAGCCTCCTTGATTTCTTGGACAAGTTTCTTCTCTATAAGTAAGTAGAGGTTATGACAGTTTAGTTTTCGATCCTTAGGTCGGGAGAAATGTTGCCTCTTATTTCTGGTTTGGTAGGGTGCAGAAGAATAGTCTTACTATCATGCTTGAATAGATGAGTATTTGCTCGATTATGAATAGTAATATTATGATAATAAATCCAAGGTCATCCTAATAAGATATGAGATACATCATAGGAACAACAATGTAAAGAACTTATTCTTGATAGTCGCCTAAACAGAAAGGTACTCATTTCTATTGTGTTATAGGTAAGGAAGTGTTATTAATCCAAGTGATGCAAAAAGGTTTAGGAAGGGGCTCTATCTTTAGTCCAAGTTGAGCAACACTACAATTGAAGATCACATTTTTCTTACTCCTGCTATCTATGAATAACTTACATGACTTATGACCATACTTCACAAATGTGTGAAAGATACTATTCCTTTTTCATGAATTGTAAAGTGATAGAACAACTAATAGAAATCATATTACCTTAAGATGCTCTGAAAGAACTTTGTTTGAAATAATTTCTTTATCCACATCAAAGGGGCTCTCGACAAAATCCACTACAATATCAATTGTGCACTTAGCTAGCACAACTTCTTTAGATTTAAGGAGCAGAGCACATTAATGGCACTTAGAAGATATACGGCCTCTAGATTGACATTTGAAATACTCGATCGTGGACCCACTAGGACAATAAGTGGATCTTAAAGAATTACTATTTTTTATGACATACTTGGCCCAACAAACTGGTAGTTTGATTGTTAAGCTGCAAGGTTGCGAGTGTTACTCATAATGCTTTAATTATATCATGAATCCATGCTTGAGCGATTGGCACATCATGTAGATGAGTGTCAAGACAAATCATTTGTCTTTATAGTTTATCTTAAATTTATGTTGGATGTCTAGTCTAAGGCTATCAATGAACCTTTAGGTAGGTCGAACACATTGTTTCTATTGAGGAGGTCATCATACAGGGACATGTATTTAGATGTCATAGAAGTTTGCTAAGGTTATAAGTACCTGATTACATAGCTTGCTTTTATAGCTAGTAGGCACATACTACTCCTTTAGTTTCAACTTCATCTCAGACTAAGTGTTTATAGGAGGTTGACTAAGGCACTCTTGGATATTCTGCCAATATTTCCTAATGGATTCTAAAAGCTTCATTTTTATGAAGAAAACAAGTTACATATCACTCATATTTGTACTAGTCAAAGTGGTCATCTATAGTATCTAACTAATCTAGGAAGTTACTTGGGTTTGGTTTACTATCAAATTTAAGTGCTTTTACCTTAACCTTTTTAGTGACATCATTATGATAATCTTGTTGAAAGGGCTTTTGGTTATGCCAAGGGGTTGGTGCTTTATTCCTTAGGAAATATCTATTCCTAAATGCTGACTTATTGCTCATACCTATCTTGGTCATCCTAATACATGTCCTCAAAGGGTTGGAGATTAGTTATAAGGTGAGGTAGTCTAGTGTTAAGGTTGTTAGGACTTACGAAGCATTGATGAATGATCA